ATCTTAGTATGTCACCGTTCATGCCCTCATCCTCACCTAAAATCGTCAGCTGATTATTCCTGTTTAATTGTCCGAATAAGTGGTTTTAAGTCATGATGAATTACCCAGATCGACTAAAACTAACCTAATAAAGTGTTGATGACTCCAGTTTTAAATAAGGAAAATCAGGCTGATCTACAATGTGAAAGCACTACCGGTTTCCTGGAAATTTTGCATTGGCGAGATGTCTAGTCGTAGCTACAAAAGATCTACAATAACTTTGGGAAAATCCTGAGAGATCCTGCCTTTGAACCATCCTATGGCAAAGATACCATCTATGATAGAAAGCAATATTATCCAACAAAGAAATATTAAAGAAGATGGTATGAAAAAGAACCATCATCCATCCTTCATTTTATTCTATTTTTGGTATGTTTAGGTAACTCAGCATATGGTCTGTATGAAGATGATGAAATAAAATTTTCATCGCAAACCAAAGTTCCTGAAATTGAGAAAGAATGGCAACCAAACAAATTAGAACAAGGAAACATTGGTAGTTTCAAAATATCTTTTAGAATTTCGTTTTCGGACTTCCTTGTAACTGGTTTATTTTCTTTAATGTTCTTTTTATCAAGGCGAAACGTTGAAAAAGCATGCGCATTTGATGATTAATCAACAACAGCAAGAATTAATCGACGATATTAGTCGACAACGGTAATAAACTATATCATACTTCTCCCTGACTTGTAACCTATTCACTATCAATACGAAACGTATCAAAATTGTACGAAAAAAAGTTTAAGCACGGACGCACAAGCTGTAACTTATCTCTTGGTGTTCTAGTGTTGTTCATCGCGCTGATTGTGATAACAATTGTCATGTATGCCTCGAAACTGTGGGAGTGAGGAGAGTGAAATTGTCTGAAACTTTAGCAACTTTCCGTCATATAAAGTTTCCCTCCTCCATCCATTTTCCTTTTTGAGTTTGTTTTGAAGATATTACAGAAAACTCAATGGCATGTCCCTAAGAACAGCTGACCGCTTTTTTTGACAACGATGTTTTCAAGTTTTTTCAACGTAATACGTGTCGGAGTGATTTTTGAAACATATCCCATCGTTTAGTTTCGTGAAAATTCAATATGAGATTTCTGATATTTTCTGAGCTAGCGAGTGAGTTTTTTCAAATTAAGTCGGATAATATGTTTCTTACATTGCTCTGACACGCTTGATCGTGAAAAAATCAAAATCAAAAACGTCGTTGTCAAAAAAAGGAGTAACTACTCCGCTGGACACAACACTCATTTTGATCTGAGAAGCATTCGCTGCTAGCAAGCGACAAAACCGATCTCAATAGAAGATCAGTCTTTACAATTTGACATGCCAGACAAATTAAAAGACGAGGTAAAAAAGAATTTAGTTCTAAAATAAAATAGTTTTGAAACTAAAAATTGAAAACGAATACTATAAATTTTACATTTTAGTTCAAGAAAAGAGCCTTTTGGATCAGAGGCACAAACAAGAGATGTTGATTTGATTGATATTGCAGTAGATATTGATAAAAACAAATTATTAAAGCCACCGATATTTCGCACAGTAATCGAGCATGACGCTATATGTACTGATGCTGATCATAAACCACCAACGTTAGTAATAGAAGAACGGCCAACAAAATATGCGAATGACTTTGTTCTTATTCTGTTGGATGAGCATCTTCATACAATATCTAATCATTACTTTGAACATCATGTTGGTTTGGAGAAGATTATCAAATTTTTTGAAAAATTTCATAATCTGGAACATTGTATTAATTACCTAAAGACACTTTCGCAAAAACAAATTTATTTAATAATTTCGAGTATATTAAGCAATAAAATTGATATTACTATAGACCGTTTTCCACAAATTATTCGAATTTATTTATTTACTGCGCAAAATATTAGAAATTTATCTATTAAAAATTCTGCAATGGTTTTCCATAAACATATGAAGGAAAATGAACGAGGTTACTCGAAAGATTTTCTGCCGTTAAATTTTGTTTGTAAAAACGAACAGATGTCGATGTTAAATGATATTGAATCACATTTTGGAGATTTTTTATTATTGCAATCAATATTGATGAGTTTAAAAAATACTGATCGCGGAAGACAAGATATGATTACTTACTTGAATTTCTTTTGTAATAATGAACCACGATACTTAGAAGAAATTGCTGAGTGTGATAAGACCTATAAGCCTAAAGATGCTATTAACTGGTATACGCGAACGAGTTTTATGTATCGTACTCTCAATACAACATGTCGCACACAGAATATCGAATGCATGTTTCAACTACGATACTACATGAATGATCTTAATCAACAAATAACGAATGAATTCCAAGAATTGAAAGATGTGATAGATGAAAGATATATATTTTATCGTGGTAAAGTAATGTATTTGGAAGAATTAGAAGAATTAAAATCATGTGAAGGAAAATATATCTTAACAAAAACATTTTTATCAGTAACATTAATGAGAGATGTAGCTGATATTTATGCGGGTGCAAGTGCTCATTTAGAGGATGGACAAGTATCAGTGGTATATAAAATAGAAGTTGAAACTGACCATTCAAAACCATTTGCTCTCGTTCGAGACAAAACGGCAATAAAAGATGACGATGAACTGTTATTTATAATCAACATGTTCTTCAAGATAATATCAGTCAAAGAGATAAAAGTAATATCAAGAAAAGATTAATACAAAATTCAAAATTATATATGTATCTTTTTATCATAGGATAATTGTTGGGAAATACATGTGAGAAGAGATAAAGAGGTAGCAGAAGAAGAAAAGCAAATATTAGATTGTATTCAAGCTCAAAACCAACAAACAGATCCGTTCAAAATAGCAGCACATCTTACACAAATTCAAATTGATAATAAACTTCCCATGAAAATATCTTCGCGGCCCATCATACAAGAACTACCCAAAACGAATTTTACGTATGAAAATGTTAAAGAGTTATTAAATGAGGACTCTTCACTTATGTCCACTTCGACGGGTAAACACTTGAATTATTATTATACTTAAGCATGCACCAGTTAATAACCGATACTTTCACAAAGAGTGTGGCATATTAATTTTTTCTCACAACTGAGTTTTGTAGAGCAAACATTTCTCTATAAAATGAGCTGTGGGAAAACTTTGCATCTTTTCTCTTTTCCTTGCAATCGGCTTTTGACGAAGAGCTCCGTTTATCGGTTTCGGTTACACAACCAAGATCGATAAATGCGACTCTTATTAAATCTCTTTTGTATAAGTGCTGGATCCAGATGAAGATTGCTGTTATATTAATAGTTACTACCCTAGAAAAATTTAATATGGCATACTCTTCGTACAATTTACTTTTTACGAAAAGAGAATGGAAAACCCAGCTTTTAATTGTTGCACGTCTAATTATACTGAATTGAACGCCGTTCGAAGAGCAATTCATTACTATATATAAAAGTAATTGGTGCAGAAGACTACTCGAGCTGTCCAAAAGATGTTTTCTCTGTCATCTTAAAGCGTTGTGTTTCTGGCTCATCAAGAACGCCATTAAAAATTTGGAATTCTGACTATTAATACACCAGTCGTAGTTATGAGTTTGAAATTTTAATTAGTCATCTGGTAGTTATGTGATGTTTGCTATAGAGACTCATTGGTTGGAGCTAATATACCAATAGAAGAACATTGCCTTCACCATCCGTTAACTGGGGTCAAAACTGAAAACTGAATTTATCTATGATACTTATCCCCCTCTGTTTCATTAAGACTTTTGAATTTTGCTGCTAAATGTCAGCAAGATTGACATTTCGGTTGATCAACACACGTTTGGGAGATTTTCTTGATGAGTCAGAAACACAACACTTTAAGACGACAAAAAAAACATCTTTTAGACAGCTCAAGTAGTCTTCTGCACCAGTTACTTTTATATATAGTAATGATCAAAACCATCTGCTCTTTCTAACGGCGTTTGAATTGGCTCTCTACCAACATTAGTAAAACAGATACATCAAAAACAAAATTCACGGGTTATTTTTCCCCATCTCGATAGGTGAAACTTAGTAAAAATGGTACATTCCGTTTTCTCACAAAGCTTCTCATCAAAAGCGTGTTTTTTCAGCCCTTCGCTCTTTGTTTTTCTAGTCCGTACATGTCGAATGTCAGGTTCATCTAAAAGAGCGATGGTAGAATTAAAAAAATTAGAAATTAAACCACCACTATTACAGCTCAAAACTGAAGACCGCATCTGGCATGTGTTACTCGAAGGTCCACAAAGCACACCATATGAAAATGGAAAATTTTGGATTAAAATTGAATTTGCAAAAGCCTACCCCTTCAAGCCACCTCACGTAAATATGACAACACCGGTTTATCATCTAAACATTGACAAAACTGGTAAACTATGCATCCACATCCTCGGCGATGGGTTTAGTCCGGCAATATCAATGCAAACGATAATACACGAATGGTATTCTGTTTTTAAAGATCCTCTTATCGATGATGCAAACTTAGCTGCGTTATATCAGTCTAATTATACCGAGTATTGCACCAATGCAAGAAAATGGACCGAACGATATGCCATGGGTGAATAGCGAATATTTATAAAGAACTCCGCTAACTTTTAGTCAAAATTGGTCTATCTTACAGAGTTTAAATGTTCTTTTGTTGATCCAAATTTAGCCAATTTTATCGCTGTTTTCAAGGCCCTATAACCGAAGCTTACACATATATCCCAATTGTTACTAGTATGAACTATGACTAAAGTCTATTCTATATATGTATGAATTGTTAGAAATATATATTTATAATAAATGTTTTGAAGGAAATGCCGTATGAATTCAAGAAATTTTATTACAGGGTGCTTCAGTTATCAGAAATTATTTCCTCTGTTTGATGGAAAAATATTGTCACGCGCTTGATGTATCTATCCTCATGTTTAGACATAAGCTCCAATCTTTCTCGTGACTGAAAGGAAGCATTCTTACGACAATAATGTTTGTCTATCTGTCTGCAAGGGAGAAAACACGTTTTAATTTATCTTTGAAAGGACGTATGGAGGTAATCGACCATGACAAGTTCGAATAAGAATTAAATGTTTGCAAAATATGTTTCACGTACATAGAATTTATATCAACTTATAAATGTTCACATTAGAAATTATATTTTTTTTTCCCAGACTCGAATTTTCTTCATAAAACGGCAGAAGAAGGTTTGAATTCAGATACTATTACTAATGTGAAAAAATGCGGCACATAAAAAATAACTAGTGCTGATGATGATAAAAATAATTTAATCCATTCGACTATCGTTTTACATCGAAAACAATCAGTAATTAGAAAAGCGGAAATAGCGACGATTGGTTTAGTCACCAAATATTCAGTTTCAATAAAATTAATGATATAATTCGTACTTTAGAATGGAAAATAAGAACGTGTACAATACAGCAACTTTTTAAGTTACTAAACCGAACAAATTTTGTACCAGTCTATTATTGCTGGGATGTTAAAGGTTTGGTTGATTTCAACTAATTTGAATTGGACTTTAATTTCAAAATTATTATTCCATTTATCATTGTTTTCGAATTAAAAAGTAGATAACTTCGAAAAATTTGAGTAATTCATCATTACCATGCGACATGTATCATTCTCAAAGTTTGTTATTAACGGCGAACGTTTTTCCTGCTTGTATTTGTTCCGTATTCTATTGATGCACTACAAAATAGAATACCGTAGTTTTTGATAAAAAGAATAAATATCGATTAATTGTGTTGACCGCAACTATCAAATAAGAGAAAAGCAATAGTAAATTTATTTTTGAGTTTTTCGTTAGTTTTGCGGAAAATATAAAGTACTGTATTTGTTTACTGGCTTTCTCGATCTATGAGCCACATGTAAAATAATTATGTAGCATACGCGGCTTTGATTGAGTTTATGTCAAACTTCGAAAGCGCGTTAAAAACTCAATAAAATGCCTTATTTCTTATAATTTCAAAGCCAAAACTTGATGTTAACCAATTTAAAACTTTTGAAATTTTATAAAATCTGCTTTTTTCCTACTAAATCGATACTTTAGTGCTCTTAATAGCACGGGAACCAACTCAAATCAAGTAAGCTAATTCGAATTCAAGCACTATTTTGTTTTCGACTACATTGTACATGAATCGATACAGCTAGACAAGCGGATCAAGAATATCTATGTTTTAGCTATAAAAAATTGATTTTTGAATGGAAAATGTTCAAAATACTAGAAGGATCTAAAATTTCAAGAACTGTTAAGCTTCGAAAAGTATACAGTGGCGGCAAAAATTATTTGTACGATCAGTATTTTGCTCATAATTCTGTGATACTACACTATATCCCTATGTTGACTACTCTTTTTCGCGATAATGAAAAACAAAAAATTTCTAAAAGTAAAAAAGCAAAAGTCTATCAGACAGGCATATTTTAAAGAAGTAGTCCGCATAACACTTGAAATCATTTTTTCTTCAAACAGCATTCAGTCCCATACCAACAAAACTGACTAGAAATACCTTGCGTAAACTGAATGCTGTTTGAAGAAAAAATGTCATAAAGAGCTCGGAAACGTCTCATTTTCTTCAGAAATGTTTGCTCTACACGAAAAACGTATTCGTAAAGAATTTCTGAACTCATCTCGGGCAGACGTTTTCTAGGACGTGAAGTAACAATAAATAAGCATTAAACAAATTTTTCTTTGTTTCTTGTTAGTTATTTCATGGTTTCGATGAGAAAAATCAAAAATAAGGGTGGTGAACAATTTTGGATCCACTGGAGACTTAAGCGGCGCAGTATTTAAGGCCCCCAAGTCGCTGCCAAGCTTGATTAAGTCTCCTATTAACACATATTGTAGAACGTTTTGGGACGCATGGAATTATGTATGAATGAGTAGAAATCCTCTTTAGTTTGATAGAAAAAAGTGAAACAAAAGTTCCCTTGGCATAGCCACGACCTATGGAAAAGTCTAGTATTAAACTCATAAAACTTTGTCCCAGGCTTCGTTAAGGTTCCTATTAACTCATCTTATAGAGCGTTCCAAGACGCATCGAATGGTGTATGAATGATTAGGGATCACCTTTAGTTTTATAGAGAAAAGTGCTCGACAGTTCGAGTAGCATAGCGGCGACATATGGAAAAATCTAGTGTTTGATTCATAATGACCGCAGCCAGGCTTCGTTAAGGTTCCTATTAACACATATTGTAGAGCTATTCAAGATGCATCGAATGGTGTAGATTATGGATCATCTCTATTTTCATGGAGAAAAGTGACTGACAGTTGGGGAGACATAGCGGCGATCTGTGGAAAAAAAACTAGTATTTGGTTCACAATGGCTGCTGCCAAGCTTCGTTAAAGTTCCTGTTGACATACCTTGTAGAGCTTTTCAAGACGCATCGAATGGTGTATAAATAATTAGGGATTATCTTTAGTTTCATAGGAAAAAGAAACCGGCAGTTTATCATTTTCTCCTTCATTATCTGAAGTAGTTTAAATAGACGTTGAAATTGTTCTCATATAGTGTTGTTGTCAAAGTAAGTATCTGTGTCAATATTTATGCTTGCTGTTGCTGAATTTTTTCTTATATGGAACGTCAATATCATTCAATAAATCTGCATATTTTTGAACAGCTTCATTTCATTCTTGATCATTTGACCGAAAAAGCTGAAATAGAAAGTCAGATAACATTACACAACATCGTTTTCCTTTTACTAAAAAATGGCGCATTATCGTTGACTATCCATCTTTTGGCATTTATCTCGTCGCGTCTGAACGTTGACTCATTAAAAGAGACATACAAACATACTTGGAAAACTAATTTAAAAAATAATAGTTAACCAAGTTTTTTCGCCTACATATTAAAATTGTAGGACTCTGTTATGTCGGTATTTTCCATTTCGGTTTAACATCAACACTAATTGTATAATAATTATTTTGTCGTGCCAAAAAATAATTAACAGATTCTTTTCTATGAGATACAACATCGTCTTCCTCATGGCTACAAAACTAAAGATTTTCGATGACTACAAGAAGTTACAAGATTCCGCAAGGTCATACATCATCTTCAGATAAGATTTTAAAAGGTCTTGCCAGAAAATCAAGATTGCATAAGAAATCATCAGATCTTATATTATAAGATCTGAAGACGTCTTAAACTGAACGTCTTCAAGACGTCTTTCACCTGCGTAAGAAAGTTACTGACAATTACACATATTATTGTCTTAATAGCCGCTACTAATTTCATCATCAATTTATTTCCAGCTGTCGACAAATCTTTTCGTCATTTTCAAGAAACCATGAAGTAACAATAAATAAGCATTAAGCAAATTTTCATCGTGGTAAAAGAATGTATTCGGAAGAATTAAGATCATGCGAACGAAAATATATCTTCACAACTTGTTCCACCTCGTCTATCGTCACATCATCAGCTGTTGATAAAAAGTTATAAACATCAAAACGCGCACGCACCGTTTCAAAAACCGGTAGTAGTGTGAAAGCTTTCCACTAAAAGTTTGTTTCTCAGAGTTACTAGTTGAGGCTTGCTCTTAAAAGAATTACGGCACACAGTTCATTATCAATTCAACATTTCTTTTAGGCGCCATATACGATATTATTGAAAATAAGGGAAATAATTTTTATTTACCAGCTAGTGATCGTATGTTGAGTTCTGTTTATCATATTCGTCTGTGTTCACTTCTATATATAAAATTAATTTTTTGTTCATGATAGTGGTGTGAAAGGCGATTGAGATAGACTGACATGTCCTTGTTGCTGAGGTGATGGATGATCGATAACTTGAGAAGTTAAATGAGTAACTTTAGGGGCCTAAAGTAATATATTAGTTAGACAAGGATAATGTGACTTA